AGTATTATTGAAGAACAGTAGGCTGCAGGTGGTAAAAAACTGCAGAATCAGAAAACTGAAGACGCAGATGGATTGCAGTCAGGATACGTATGCTAACAGACTCTTGATTTTATTCACATGAAGTGGCAGTGTGACTCTTAGATATTTCCCTGACGTGGATGTATGCAAAACCCTTACCGTCAAGCTGAGGGTGCTCAGAAAGCAACTGTTGACAACAAGCCCCTTTGTGAAGAGAAGTACATCGTTGTACCAGAGTGCATTCCTCGACAAGTGTCGAAAGTCGGATTCTAATATTTGTCTCCCTATTTATGTTGGTAGATTATCCGAGCAGACGGCGGTTAGGTGGTAGGATCTCCTTTCCTAACTAATGGTTTTATATGGAAATGAACTTTCAGTAAGAAATGCTAATGGTCTGCGGCTGTTGGTGCAGGCAATGACGAAATTGGTGACTAGCACTCAGTATGGCCCTATGAAACTGACCCTACTGTTAGTCGGGCCTAGTTGGGATGACGATGAGTTATGGGATTCATATGCTCATCCCAAGCTGTTCCGGTGACACTTTCACTAAATGCACCTGTGATGGAAGACCGTCAACTAGTCAGAAGACTTGTGGAGGGCGAAGGCGGTCTTCGGACTATTGTCAACTTCAAGTTGCGTACGATGAATTGTAGTTTTAGGGAATCAGATCAAACTTACTTGCAATCCAGCAGGACCTGGCTCCCCGATGGCACCAACCTCACCGGCTCTTCCTCGGGGACCCGACTGACCCCGTGGACCAGTGTCCCCTTTGTGACCCGGTGGGCCCATTTCCCCTTTGTCGCCTTTTGGTCCTGGTAATCCTGGTAGGCCGGGCAAACCAGGTTGTCCCTTGGCTCCAGGAAGACCACCGACGCCTACCTCACCGTCAACTCCTGGACGACCCTGAGAGGATAACAAAGGGAATGGCTTACCACAGGCTAGGGATAAAAGCAACTTCCACTTCAGAATGTGAACTATTAAATGACGATTCTGTAATCAAAGAATTAGCGAATCGCCGCTGTTGTATTCAGGAAAGAGAACAAAAAAGTATGCCAGAGGCTCAACTAACGGAAAGGTCTACTGGAAAGAATATTTCCGTAACTGTTATCCCCCGATCGGACTCCTGCAAATCGATGAACCAATTCATGAAGCTTTACCTCAGGGTCAAACCACCAAGTGGACCAGAGATCATCGATGTGCCTAAGACGTTACATCACAGGCATGCGCACACCGAATGCTCTGAGGAGTTTACTTTGCTAGGAATGCGAAAGACAACGGCCTACATTTTGAAGTCTTGGTTAGTTCTCCGAGCTGGGCAATTTGGTTGTAGTCGTTTCGACACCAATCGAAGTGGCATCTTCAGTGTGTAACGCCAAGTAGCTCGTTATCAGGTACTGAGATCCGAGTAACTCCATTTTGTAAGCCACTTGGCTTGTGTCTGGTGTGGGCGGTGTATCGGTTTCCGAGTGAAGAGAATTTTGAAGTTGATGGACGCATTTCGCATTGACCGCAAAGTAAACAGGCATGCAAATTTAAAATGCGTCTTAATTATCACGGTGTACTATTCTTCAGCTTCTATAGGCACAGTTCTTTCGAGTGTATGCGCCTCTTTTGGTTTATAGTAGTATTAGTTTAATCCCCCACATCCCGAGAAGTACATTTAGCTGTAGAGTTACCTGTTAGGTGCTACACTAGGACGCAGTACAAAACATGAAAAATTAGTCATATAGGGGAATACGCCACAAATAACGATACATTTCTCCGTGCTAATAAAAAGCAAAACCATTTCACTTCATTTTGCTTTCTTTTTTCCCCAAGGCACCCACTAAAATTGGCTATTTGCTACATGAGATCACATCATCGTAATAACACTTGCTATACAATACACATATCATACGCACATATGTTTATAACTTTTCCGACAATCTATATTCCATTCAACGTTACGAAACGGCCTGACCGTTTTTAGTTTTGTCAACGTTGTTTTTAAAACCTTTTTCACATGGTTGCACTATTGTATTTCTTTCTCCATCATTTGACACCTCACAGCTAAACACGTATTTGATTTTATCTACACTTGACCTCCCCTTTCTATTAAGGAATACTGCGAACGGATTTACCCACTCACCACTGTAACGCGCGCTGAATGTAAGTCAATCCCGGAGAATTTTCCGGGGCAGATGCTGGATACTCAGCAAAAGCCTCACTGTTAAGTGATAAGTGCCTATATAAAGAAAGTCGTCCGCAGTTCAATCCTGAACACCTAATCAAAAGGTTTTGCTGTTCGGTGAGCACAATGACATCTGTACCGGTGCGGACCTAGACTCTACTACTCCTATTTTTGAAATTACTATCCAATATTCATTTAACAAATACTGTTAATGCAGACAAAGTTTCCAGTGTAATTAGCCATCATGCAGCCGACTACATCGCGTGCTTTCGGGAATAAATATACTATACCTTGTATTGCTAAGGACCTTATATTACACCATACTATTTGCTGTGTCATACTATACTACACTAGGTTTTCATGCTCTAACCTTTTAAACGATGGAAGCTTGTCGAGACCGCATCCGCGGATCGTGTCGAGGGATGGATGAAGGAATGCACGCGTAATTTCGCAGCAGAAGGTTCCCTTAGCTAGTCCACATTAGCTAAACTCATGCAGCTAAAACCTCGTCTCACAGAAAACTGAGGCTGCTTAGTAGGGAGTGCAGCGGTAACCGATCGGACTGGTTTCGACGGTCTTAGGCTGATACCACAAAACTATCCATAACCCCGGTTGACACAGTGAAAAGTTGACGGGATGCGCTCGAATCACAGTGGATGCATGAAACGTAAACCTTTTCAGCCTTTCCACATACACTGTCCACTTTCATCGAAGAGTCTGTATGCGTGTAACTTGCAACATATCGTTCTCATGCTGCGCGAATTCGCTCATCCCGGGCGTCTTATGACTGACTTATATACTACGAATATGGAGAATCTTCTGTTGAGTAATAGGTGCGAAAAACCGTGCCCAATATAATCTACCTGGCAAGTGTATAGTAATTGGATGAACTTACTCTGGGTCCAGGTGGACCAGGAGGACCTCGTGGACCAGTGGGGCCCATGAAACCGGGGTCACCGAGTGCACCCTGTTCACCTTTCTCCCCAACGGGTCCTTGGGGTCCTTGCATTCCCGGTAGCCCAGTCATACCTTGTTGTCCTCGTCCTCCTTTCAACATCATCTAAGCAATCAGGAAGCAGAATACGAATAGAGGTGTTGTCAACAGAAAATGCACAATATGCAAGAAATCGGACCTTCTTTTTTATGTGGCCCTAATCCTCTCTGTGAGGTTAGGGGACACTTCCCAAGCTACAGCGAAGTGAGTAGAGATCAAAGAACAAACAGACATTCACGTAGTTTAGGTGGAATTCACAAAAATCAGACCAAATCATGCATCCATTATTGACAGTCAGATCGCTCAATATTCAGTAGTGTATAGTGAGCTAAAACGGCGGATGCAAAAAAGAATCAAAATCAAAATTTTCCGACCTGGAACATGAAATACCGGTATTCTAGATATAGCACTTTATCATATTATTGTGTATATGAATGTCTAAATAGTATCTCGAATGTCGCGATGTCTGGTACGTTCACTCCGGTGCGAACGGAACGTTCTGCAATTCAAACGGGAGTGTTCCGTTACTAGTTTCAAATGCTGGCCTGAGAATCGTTTGTAACAGGCTAGAGTCAGCAGTAAATTACATGGACGATCGTTGCCAGTTAGTATCCGGTAACTTAGGACAAGATCTCCGCGAATACGTCGGTATTTTGAGGATAACACACCGATTAAACGAAAGCGTATTTCATAATTGAGGCCGGATAGTCCCATGTTGGCCCATCTTGGTGACTGCTCCAAGAGGCGAATATCTCGTTTCAACCATGGACGCCAGGCCTGAACTGCAAACTCAAATTGGGGACGAATATACGAGTTAATCAGCAGGGGTACTAACTGTCTCTCAAAAATACCAACGCTTGATCCAAAAGTCTTAAATTCAAGCTCTCCACCTTCGCTGCCGTCAAATATTTGAGCGATATGCCCATCCTCTTTTGAACAACGAGACCTAAGTCTCTTTCACTAGACACAAGTTTCAGAACGTGATTCCCCAATAGATGTATTGTTGAAACCGTTGCACAGCGTGAGTAGGTGCACTTTTCAGGCTTCAGTTGGAACTGGTTCAGTTTTCCTCTCTCCTTAGTCCGATCCAGGTCGTCCTGCAGGTATGCAAGAGCAGATTTTAAGCCGATAATTAGCCGGATCGTGGAATCAGTTTAAGCGTAGGTGTACTGTTTGATCTCCTATGGAATCAGTAACAGTATGAAGCAACATCCCACATATCTACCCAGCTCAATGGGAGGCTGTAGACGACAAACAGAAGAATGATGGGGCACCAAGTGAGACTTTTGATCCAAACAGAATGCAGCTGGGCAACGTGGCTAAGCAGCGGAGGATGAGCAGCATTAAGCCGCAAGAATCTAGCTGAGCACATTGACGGTTGATAAGCGCATCGGCCCGATTGGAGATTCAATTAGTATTGTGGAGGAAGATCAACGAATTACGAGTAGGCTATACTACAGTATTAGAACTTCTCGCGCTCGTATAGGTCAATTTGAAATAGGACAGCATGGCATCAAGTTGTATTTACCATAGAATTGATCGTGATGAGAAAGTAGAATCATTCAAGGCGATATTTCAATGAGTACGGTTGCAGCCCAGATGGCAGCTATGGTCGATAGTAAGTTTCGTTTGGTGGTCATCCACTCTTGTCAACAGGTTTGATAGACCGGGTTAGTACTTGTCGGCGACAAGATGTGGAGCTGCAAGCTCGCTACTCGGTCGATCTTGAAGAGGATGTGAATCGGTGTACAGAGATATGAATGGCTAAAAGTAATGGGTTTAAGCTGTGACGATAAACCGGACTCAAGTTGTCCAAACGTTGCCGCGCCACTGTCCACTGAAAAAGCGGTTGGCACAAACACTACGTGTTCCATTTTGAAGACCTCACTTTCACTGTGATCAATGTGCCGATGCGACTATTTGAAGCAGAGATACTGATGCTACGATCTGTGTTTAACCTACGCTATCTTCTGTGAATGATTTTGGGATGACAAGCGCATCCAGTTATGGAAATCGATATCATCAACAGCGCGGCTCGGCTCAGCCCACGGAAAGCGAATCGAAGTAGCCCGACAACTCGCTTCCCAACAATTCTCTCACAAGTTCGCATAGTTCACAGTATGGTTTTCCTAACCTTCTCCAAGGGGTTTGGGGCAAAAAAGGGCGCAGTAACTGCGCGGAAACTGGATAATCCATCTGAAAATAACGTTTCAGAGCGAACGGCATACTCTTAATTATGGAAAACTATGACGAGGAAGGCGTCATAGCGAACACGTTAGAACTTCGCTTAACGATATATGGTAGCAATCCCGTAACTTGACCATTCAAAGGACTGGACCAATGAGCTCAACCTAGTGTGGTGGTCAATACGTGTAGGTCTTATACAAATGCTTAGCGTACCTTGCCTTCCCGTTGTGAGTAGCAAGGTACAACCTTTAACTTAACATACATCCAGTTTCGAATATAGTACATAAGTTCTAACTTGATCCCAATTAAACCATCCAGTAGTATACTAAATCAAGTCCAATATGGTTTTCTCAAAGTTAGCATTTTTCTTGTTGAGTCCAAACCAGGACGAAACCGTCGGTCTTGGAGTGCAGGGATGGAGAGAGCCACATCGAAACCCTCCACTTCGGTGGCAGTCTCAGTGATCTGAGTGACAGACGCTGACTTCCAAGTCAACCAAGGCCACAACTGAATTTGCATGTAGCAGTCCAAGACACACGGTGGGTACACCAAAATCAGACATTAAAAAACAGTCATTGTCACAAACGCAACTGAGCAGCTTAGATTGGAACTGGTTACTCGATGGTAAGACAGGCACTCAAACGCCTGACCGCGACCTGTGCAATGAGTGTGCACATGCTCCAAAGGATGGTTATGCTAGTGTCATTGTTCATATACAGGTGAAAAAAAGTCTCACACGAAAACGGTTAACATCAATCCGTGGGCGCGGATCTGTGGTGGCACAATATATACTAGGTAAACGCCCATGCCTTTAAACACATGGAGGGGACATTACAATACAAGTGCGTATTTGTAGGCAGAGAAAATGCTGTGTCGTTAAACATCCTCGGAACCGTACAATGCAGTTCTTGTGGGTCAAGAGAATTTCGTATATTGCAAAAGACTACTTCGGCGACAATTGCACAGTAAACCTTCACATGGTTAAGTTATAGAGGTAACTTTATAAGGACTTTGTTTTAGCCCAAGTGGTTAAGCTGCAACTTACAGTGATGATCAATATACCTAAGTATGGTTCCACAGGGTTTACACAGTGAACATTCAAGCTATGAAAAGAGCTCAACTTAGAGAGGTTGTCAGGATATAGAGGCGGTCAACTTCAGAGGTTTTACTGTACTTACGAAGTGTGCATTTTTAATTCGGCCAGTCCGACCAAAAATAAGCCAATCCCTAGGGACGGACTAGTGCTCATTCGCACATGTGATATGTGATATGATAGCATGTCCTTCAGCGTGCATGTGCTAAGTAGTCAGAGGGGTATCTGTGGCATGAATGCAACGAAACAGAACCCTGCAGTTGCCTACCCTGTGGTGTTGCACCTGGTCTTCTCCATCTCCTTGGTTCTCCTTGGTGAGAGTGGTGCTGGTCGAAGGTGGAATCAAAAACTGACGCAAGATAGTGCAAACAATACATGTTAGTGTGAAAAGATTCACTCATAGAGCCAAATTTTCCTCACTGTCGTACCACGCCCCTCAGGATCGCAAGCTGCATTGATTCAGCCTTGGTTCACTAGGTATTCGACTTTGATTTTCCAAACGCTTCACTCACAGCTCCGAGTAGACTCACCACAGACTGCTGGATCATCGACCGGAAACTCGTCATTCGAGCCATTTCGTTCTTTCCAAAGCTAGGCACTGGCATAATCATCAAATGACTGGCCACGCCAGGTAAGCCAGGACTTCCTGGAATGCCACTTCGTCCGTCGCGTCCCTGAAATAGAGTGACACAGTGAAAGTAAACTTCGCAAATTCGAGGACAGACTTACACCCAAGAATGCCGTTAATAACATGTACTATTGGTCATGTAGTTGTTTCTTCTATTCCAGATAACACTCTTGAACTGACATCCACCTACAGTGATCCAAGGCCAATGTTTCTCATGTTTAGTAAATTTAGCACCCATAAGCTGACGATGCCTCTTCCACTTAGTGATAATGTTAAAAAGAACTAATAAAACGAATCCTTATAGGTTGTAACGAAAGCAACACAAAGTAGCATACCAACACTTTTGACCTGCATTTCATCTCCGCTAACTTCTTACATCACTCTGTTCCAGCTACAGCCCCAAGGCGCTGGTACTTTGTTGTTCCTTGATCCCTCTTGTGTCTCTAATCTCTATTCCCATTTGCCTTATGCCAAAATACAACAGGGAAAACCGGAAGACTGGACTCGATCAACGACGTCTGTTCTGTGTTCAGTGACGGTTGTAGTTTAGGTCAAACACCTTCCTATATGGGCATGGTAGTCATCCAATCTTCCGTGCCTCGGTCTGATAAGCCCTGACCACGTTCTGATTGGCCGTCGGATGGCGTACAGTCAGAGGTCCGCCCGTGCTGCCAGGGTGGATCGGATTTCACCAGCTACAACCCTGTCAGCTGATCGCGCGCCAGTTTTACGCCTGCCAGTGATTGCCGGGTTTCGTCAACTGCTCACGTGACACGGGCCCGTCGGTGACATCGCCTCGGTCCTGTGCTGTAGCGGCAAGCACAACAAGTTTTGGCAGTGGAAGATGCACCATCTTAACAGTCTTTAATAGGTTCTTAGACTGGTTAGGCTAAATTTTACCAACTGTTTGTCGTGGTTCTGCATAACTTTGCGCTACAGCAGGTAGAACAATTTTCAGCTACTCGTTTGGTTCGGCCACCTAATATCCTGGTCCACCGTAACCGGAAGTACATCGGGGCCGATGTGATACCGCGTTATACCTGTTTTCTGGAGCTACTAGTCCATCGTGTGATGCCGTTCCTTAGCGGAGCTGTCCCGCGGTCGTCCCCCTCCTCTTCAATCCGCACCATACACTAGCTCCGATGTGTTTCGTCCATACTAAATATTTTTAGTCCTTTCTAGGTACTACCTTACAGTTGGAATTATGAAACTGCAACCATTAACTGTTGTGCCAATCGTTGCCCGTCGTGACCCGGTGGCTAAAAAGGGTAGAGGTCCCTACTAAGATTCCGGTGGTTCCACGTTCGAGGTCTGTCTTCTCTGTTGGTTGGTGCGCTGGGCTTTATTAAATGGTTACATACGTTTTTCCACCATGCGCGTCGATCATGTATGGATGATGCAATCTGCAAGATTCAGCACCGCAGCTAACCGCACTGATGCTGTCACCTCGGATGGTGAGGAAACGTATGCAACCATTTGATCACGCTAGGCGAACCAATCGAAAGCTGAACAACCAACTAGTACGGCCAATGTTTTCAATTAATTTCCATACTATGTTTACCTGATGGGAGCAAACAAGGTCGAAACGCGTCGTGGTGTGCAGTGCTTTCGGGCAGGCAACACCAATATACATTTGCTCTTTAGTTCTAATTGCAGGGAGTTGCTTGACCTTCTTTCCCCTGTATTCTTACCAAGTTTTTGTCAATTACTTTCAATAACCTCTATGGCAACAATAAATGGTATTATTTGACACATTACTAATATGGTAACCTGAGCCAGAACGGAGGAAATAACATCTGCGAAGCATACACTGATGCTTCGGATAATATACTAGTTGTGAACAAGGCATAAGCGCTGAATTTAACGATATGTAGCTTAGCCTGACAAACACGTATTTCTTAGTGCATTGCAGTGTAACTTTCTATTTCTACTTCCCTTTACTAAGAATGATATACTTGTTTCAGAATGGTACCAATGTTTATAATGCGTCAACCGCCTCTCTGAGAATATCTTGCAGCGTGACGAAGCTTTTTAGAGCGTTATTTCCAAGGTAATCATCGAGACCTGAGTGTACAGACGCTGTTTGATGTTTCCATTTCCAATTTGGTTCCCTGGGAAGTTGCATTTTGCAGAACTCAAAAGATTGTTTCATAAACCACCTGACCTTACCCAACATCGGGTGTTATTCGAAGCACTTGATGCTCAGTGATACCGAGTGTTTTGGCCCCAGACTAAGGCACCGTTGTACCTGGAGCTAGGCAGAACACCGGAGACTTGAACAACATAAACAAGTGTATCAGCTTAACTATCCATCTAGTCATGTGAGTGCTCACATGAGGGTCAGATCCCAGAGCGCTGTACCATGAACCCGGACAATGTTCTTTCTTGGGTTCATGTCATCAGGCCAAAGCCCAAAGGATTTCAGTGCCTTTCACTACCCAACGGGTAGTGCTTCAAACGAAGAACTGCAAGAACATACTGTAAGAAGCATACTACGTATCCTTCCTTGAGAATTGCACTTTGTACTCAGCACACCCAGGGTAGTTCGTTGCTCGAAAACCTGCAGCGTGGACGAAATTCCTCAGAAGGGATGTAACTCGTGTTATTGAGAGATTGATATCACTCTGATTGCTGTCCGTATTAGTGTTGAAGAAAATCAATAAGTGTTTTACTCCCACTGATTATTCTCATTGGGACCAAGCTCAGCAGATCGCTGGCATTGCGCGCCTCCGAAGCGAGGGCAGGCAGCATTTCCCAGTCCCAATTCCCATTCAATGGCTTCGACCTCCATGTCCACACAGATTTAGGAAGAACATAAGTGGAACCGTGATGCCTAGGTGGCAGGTCGGGTTGTAGATGGATTTGTTACGGAGCACAGTTAACAAGGAATAGAAGAGTGGTCACGCACTTTGCCATATCGAAAAAAAGTTGGTAGGTTCTCGGATAGTTGACAAGACCTCATAGTTTTAGTTTGGAAGCAGAAATGTGGGATGCGACAACATAGGCAGATAAACGAAGAGCATGTGGAGAGAGACACCAAAGGTGGTCATTTGCACCCAGGAACTAGAAGAATGCTATCGCTCCATGTGAGATAAGGTGAGCTCACCCGAAAGATGAGTGTGGATTTGGAAGCACAATACATTCGGTAACATTTAGCATATCGCAAATCGAGCTAATACCATGGACCAGTGTGCTTCCATTTTCGGACAGGAACAGGAACGCAGATTGTGGTTTTGCTTCCGTTGGATTCTTGTGAGGTGCCTCGAGACATTTGTCAATGTCGCTGACACTGCGGTTAGGGTAGTCCATATCCAGGCCAATATACTGCCAAGTCCTCCGAGCGGCGCCTAGGCGTCAAACGCGGGAAGTTTGGCACAACTTATAGTGCGGATCTCAATCCCCTTGGCTCATCCGGAAGGAACATGAACAAAAAGGGTTGAAGGCGTATGAATCTGGACCCAGTTGTACGAAGCATACACGGGGCACACATGGTTCCATCATCCAAAAAGGGGATAAGATTGATAGCAAGCCTCTAGTTGGTTGAACTCAGTGAAAGCGCCTCATCTGCAGATGGAACCCTGGAAGCCATCCACACACAAGGGAGCCTATCGGACTGACAGGACAAAGTTGTGAACCTGTTTTTTAGCCTAATGTGAATAGTAACGAGTCCAAACACCTGAGGTAGTTTTATCAGGCAGCACTTTCACCCTCTTCCGTAAACGACCAGGTGATGGACTTTCAGAATTCTGGGAAAGGGCCCCAGATGCTACCGGTCTGTTAGCTGTAAAGTTTGAAAGTTAACGAGTTGCCCAGTACAATGAGTGAGACGACAGACGTCCATCATATGCGTCAGCAAACCTGAGTAAAGGTGCCTGGTCTAATCATTCCATAAGTTCGCGTTTCTTGTGATAAGCGTCTGGAGCATCTACGTACTTCGATCAGAGTCACGAATACGGAAACAAAGTCCACTACATTGGGGGTTCAGTGGAGAAAATGACAAACAGTTTATTCGCTTGAAGTGAGCCAAGTGAGTCGTTAAGAGAGGCAGCGCATAAACTTTTCGCATGGATGAATGCGTTACTTGCGTCATGGGGCGCAACGGTGCTTGAAACTGCCGTCCAAACAAGGTGACTGGTGGTGTGCTTGGATCGAGTTTCCGACTATTGCTTGGAAAATTAGTATTATGCTCACTCCAACCGATTGGTTACCCATCCCGTTGAGTTTGTGCGGTGCGTGTTCATAGGGATCGATGTGTGTTTCAGTGAACCAGCCCCAGGTTCCAAGGGACCGCTGAGACCAGACCAGCTGAATGGAGGAAGATGAGTGGGGGTTCTCCAATGGATCGGCAGAGGGGTGGATCTGATGGTTTGTCATGTGCCATGTTCCTCGGTACGTATGCTCGATAAAGCAATTATCTGATACTTTACGTGAGTTTACCTTCAGAGTTGGAACTGCGGGGGGCAGTAAGGGGATGGAGATGCGATCTGTGAACACGAACGTCAACTATGCACCCATCTGACAAACTAAAGTTTATCTGCATCTATGCCTTGTTTGTGTGGAATAATTGTACCGATTTACCCATAACTGAAATAGGTGATCAGATTGGCATGAGGAGGAGTATGGACCCGTGCATTCATGTCCAGTGGTATGGCCTGACACTTGCGCTTCTTCCGGACGCGTGGAAGCTAAATATTTCTCTTTACATCGCAATAACCCGAAGGGATAGGTAAATTGGTTCTATTTTAGGTCAACTCAAGCAAACCCAAACGCATCATTCACGATTCCCATACGGAATAGAAAGCATCACACTAACCATACCTTTGAAGTCATAGTCATCGATCGCGGGTGCCCACCACACTGTGGTCAGAATCCGTTGTGAGTGATAGTGTGTCGAGTGGGTACTTCATGAACCGAAAACATAGTCTCGGCCGCCATAAAATTGCAGTATACACATACAAAACATGCAGCGATACCTTACATCAGCATTTTCTTGGCCACAAGCCCCTACGCAATGAATCCGGGCTAGCTCGGAGTAATTGCGACTTGCTTGCCCCATCAACCAGTCACGCTGAACGTTCTGTGGTAGTGCGAACTCTACCAATGGGCCATTACCTGATCACGTATCAAGCTCACGTGACCTTGGACCTCTTGCCTACCGTTGGTTTTGTGGTTGTTGGGAATGCATGAAATGACGCTGCCATCACACAACCTGTGCTGGTTACTTAAATTGGTAGGTTGCCACGCAAAGAGGACGGTGTTGTATTGCCATTGCGAAAGCCTCTACGAGGATAAGGCAGATTTGTGCTTAATCATAAGAGGTAAAAGCAGTGTGGGAATTAGTTTGTAGTGTTGATTACCCGCTCCTCGAACTATCCATCCCTATCCATGTATCTCTGATTTCTGGTCATCTTGAATGGCAAGAAGGCAATGATTAACCGAACAGAAGATCCCATGAAATCATAACACAACGGGTGGGTAATCACTGCCCTCTGCACACTTCCTAAATGAAATGGCAGTGAAAGATGAGCCAGGCTATGGCATATTCAACTGTCAAGCAGGCCGGTCCGCGGCTGTCACCCATTGCGAAGTGGCACTAACTGCTGGCATCCAGAAGTCATGGGGCGGAACCCAGCAGGTGCCCACTGGAAGGCGCACTACTGACGAGATCCAGAAGGTCGAAACGCCTGCGTCTGGTGCCTTAGACTAGCCCAGGTCTACTGATTGAGAGTGGCCATGATGAATTAGCTGAACAGCGGAGTTTGGCATACTCAGTGCCCCTCGGCTGCAGTCAAACCACTGCTCGCTTCTCCCATTGTAAATACGGGCGCGCTCTGGTCCACTCGAAAGCAACTTTGTGCCGTGACATTTGCAGCCTCACTACGAATATTAAAAGTCAAGGTAATGATGATGAAATTAGTTGGTCCTGCCGGTTTAGAAAACTGAAAACATCCATCGCTGCATTTACGCTCACACTCACGTGCCACACCGATGCGCAACACGATGCGCCGGAAAGCAACACGCACGCACGCACGCACTCTCGCACCAAAACCCCTACATCCCACAGCGCGCACCGCGTACGCACGACACTTGCAAGCAACAGTGAAGTTAAGACAAACTGTGTCCAGATGGTCACACTTTCAACACTTCACAATATAATCTACGGATGGACTGAAATTATCTACTAAAGTTGCATGAATGGAAAAAGAACACAGTCTATAGGTGTCACTTGGATAAGTGGTCAGTAGAAACGAGCCACCGTTAAACATTTCTGGACCAAATAACTTAAAGCTGAATTCTGTTGTTAGGACAGCGCTGCAGGCCTGATTTCCAACCTTGTCGGTCCACTTTCAAGTGCGCAGTATCTTGAGTTTTTCGCTAAAGTAAACGAACGACAGCCATGGTGACCTTGAAAAGGTCAAGGTTGAAATATCCCGAGGAAACTAATGTGTCCGTGATGATCTGGTAACAAGGATGTTCGGTGAAAACGATAATGCGTGCATTGTGGACAGTCGTGGAAATAAATCCGATGTGGTAGCCCTGTTTAGGCTTCCATAGCGGCCAGGGTAAATGGTGCGGTTCACCGTGTCTTAACGATGGGTGATAAAAATGGGAGATCAGAACAACGAAGTGATATAAAGGGCATTTTTCATCACATTATGCGAAGCTACTGTCATAACAGCTTATTGCACACACAATCATCGAGTTAAACTGCATGGACAAGACTTGAACGCTCGGGTTCGTCCCAAGAATGTGTGATACACTTGTATAATATGCTCATGTGGACAGGCGTAAAACTATGACCTTACCGGTTGTCCTTTTTCTCCTTTCGGACCAACTTCACCTTTTTCGCCGGGAGCACCCTGAAAAAGGGAGTTGCAATGAAGGAAATGAGTAAAACAATGAAAAACCTTCTAATAAATCATAGTCGTTCCCAAATCACATAAAGCCTTCCCGGCACACCTTTAACAATCGATCCCGCGCATGATGCCGCTTATGCATTAGATACCACTTGTAGATCATCAAATGAGTAAATCGTCGACCGTCACTGTTTTTCAGTCACTTAACTCAATGCACCGTCACTTCATGACGCCGACGGGTCAATTATCAGAACGTTTCTCGATTGATGACTCATAGGTGAGGTCCGCTTTAACCGCTCGCCATTATGTAGTCCGTGAACCTTGGTCACCATGGTTTGGAGTTGAAGTGGCTGAGTCCGAGTCCGCTCCAAGATGAAATCACTCGCTGACTCTGCAAACCTGTCATGATGACCGCGCCCTACCTTTAGCATCAACGATCAACATCTGCTTGGAGTTTGTAATTGAAGTTGCTGTGTCAGCGATTGTTTCAGTACATATCAGTGCTTCAAGCGTGGATCAACTGAATCGGAAGCGCACAATACAATCCATGCCAGTCCTATCAACAGTACTCTCAAAACAGCAGTGTGAGGCCAAAACATATTACTCTTAAGGTCAGCTTGCCTATGTGAGCTCTCCAAGCTACACCTCTGCTGCGAACGGATCGGTAGGTATTATTTGGGATTGTAAATATTACCGCCAGTGAGTTATACAAAGATTTTGGGACGCAAACACCCAGGATAGTTCAAAGATGGGCAGCTCCCTTCATCTGCCCGACAACCACAGGGCTTTGCCAATTGTTAGAGACGTGCGACCCTCGTGTGCGGTTTCCTATCAAAGCATGTAAAACGGTGAGTGCAACCTACACCACAGTGAAGTACACGAATTAAAAGGTGCTTTTGTCTTGCTAAAGATAACCCAAGGAAAGCAATTATGGCCGGCATCCAGTGAATTTTCCCCTCGCTCTATAAACCACTTAAATTGGTACGACAACGGCGGTGATAAGCTTGCAGACCGGCTTGTAAATCAGACCGAATCAGTCTGGAAATCAAGTCGTCTAGCTCCCGCGCCAGAATTAAAAGCTACAAATGCGTCCACCCCCGCCAGGACCTACTATGCGGTACTTGGCAATCCGACTGTTCTTTCACTACCACAGTTAGCCCATACAGGAACTGAGTAAGCCCAGACTCATCACATTATTTCGATGCTATTTATCGCACGTTGGTGTTCTAGGAAGTAACATCGCCTTAAGTCCCATTCCATCTCCGGACCTTGCAATCCCTGATTGTGCGATAAATGCTGGTTGCCGTTTTCTACTGCTCAGCATTTTCGCACGTGTATTTCGTCAAAAGTCCGGGGGAATTGTCTGGGCGTGGCCTCACAATCGAACCTACCGTTCAGTAAATCGGTGCTCAAAGCCAAACCACTTTCCCGGACGCTCGAGGACTATACCCGTTCCAAATCATTATACCATTAGTAAGCTGTTAGTTCGCACGGAATGAGTGTTAGCCAGCCAAGGTACATTAATGTAGAAGAGGGGCGGTGCAGACACTAGACTGTAGGATAGAGTGTCCCAGTTTGTAGCAAAAGATGGTCCATCGGAGAAGAACGGATAATTTAGCTTTAGCTTTTCCCACAAATCGGTTCTTCTGTTATTTTTGGCTCACTGCCAGTAATAACGACGCTTTGGGGTCCAGATAATTTTTCCCTTCATCCAGTTGTACAAGCGGCGCTGAAACTTACCTCGGCGCACCAAAACTTCAGCCAATTATCGGAGCTGTATAGATAGCCACTGTGCGGAGAACTGAGGTGTCCAACCGACGGACCGTTAGAGGGCATTCCTTCGATCCACCCTTCGTTCTGATTAGATACCCCATCATATAGATGGTGACAAACTTAGTGTTGGAATCAATCACTTAGCCTGCAATCTTTATTACGATTGCGTTGCTTACTCTACGCCGGTAGCAATAAGTAGTTGCGCGTGCTGCAAAGTTAGTCACAAACGTTCTATTCAACAAAGACAACTCAGCAAAAAACCCCAGAACGACTGATACACCAGATGCATCGTTCGTGCAATCTCTCAACCAAAACAGCAACAACAACGTTTTTACACCGATGTGGTTTCTCCTTTGACTCAGTTACACACATGATGAAGAACTCATGTTAGCGCAAACGAACATCGCTTAGGCAGAATGTAATGATCGAATCCGCTGCGCTCGTCTCCAAGTAACTGTCTTGATTGCCCTTTGGATTTATCCGTACACTCTGATAGGACACTCATCACATCCCGTAGCCAGTGCTTGACGTGGCGATATCGGGTAGGTGGGCACCTCACCCAACCGAATATTGGTCATGGTCAATAAAGCGTCATGTGCAACGCGCGCCACATACAAGCAATGTTGCAACCAATACATGTGAAACATTAAAATTTACAGCAGTTCGGCGACGAAAACGGCTGCAAAACACTTAGGTGATCATGCATAGCAAATGAATTCCGTTTCCAGTTGTCGTCTACCCCCCGGATTGAAGCTAACCGAGTTGACCTGCGGAGGAAATGCACCTAACTGAAAGCACGCGCGTTTGCTGTTGAATGGGTAAGCAGTGTTGCGGAGCTAGCGTACCTTGGCAGAACTTGAGCACAGCTCGCCTCACTAGTACCATCACCCTACAGCTGAGCTCTCCTCAATGAAACTGCTGTCATGTGTCAGCGCAAAGTGCGCAGTCTTCAACCAACGCCTCTCCCAGTTACACTACCGTACCTACCGTTCCAAGCCATGTGGACTTCCACTGAGTTATCCTTCGAACACAACGATTACGTAACAATTCGTGTTCCTTTGTTAACCTCCACCTTCCTCTAAAGTTTATGTATTATGTGTAGAAGACATTTTTGCCTTGGCTGAGTTAGTAAACGAACTCTTGCTATCGGCCAGTGTTCCGTTCTGGGTCTCTGTACAATCGCGCAAGGTTATGCGTCTGGTCTTCAGTCTCAGCTGGCGTGCACATAACTTTGGCAGCTAAGTCCCTTACGCAGGACCGATTCGGATGCAGATGTCTACTCTGCGCCTGGGGTAGTATCTGAAGGATGTTACGTCAGATCGGAGTAAAAGTTGAAGCGACTAGGGCATACTACAACAACCACGGTAGCTTTCAACGTGTCTTCAACAGTGACTTGAAGCTTAAACACAAAGCATAGAAGATTGTATCGGTTGGAATAACTCTACTGACTCACCAATCTCCCATATTGCGTGCTGTATTCATCCTACAACAGAGAAAGACAGGGTGGATACATCACAACTGGCGTGGTGCAAACAATTTGATGTGAATGAATGTTGCGTAAACAAACCACCCAGTCGGAGCACCCGAAATGAAGTGGTAGGCTAATGCTTTGAAAACATCAAGAATCGCATCTGATCAACATATTCGCTCTATCTAGTTGCTTACCTCCGACAAGGTCATCAATGGCTGTTTATGTTGAACAAAAGAACAAACTACAGATTTTGACGACACGGAAGATGAGTCAAGTCACGATGCAGTGGTGGTAGTGGGCAACTGCACATGAAGGCGTTTGGACCTTTGTGTGGTCAACGTTAAAAATATATCGACGACGTTTGAATATTATCACCGTTGTTCTCTATGTAGGAACCTAAGCTATTAGTGTCCTTGCAACAGCCGAAGTACACGGGTTCAGGCACTCGTGATCCGGCAGGTGTGCAATTTGCTACGCTACGCTTCGTCTCGCTTTTCTCGATACCATCTTTCAATTGATTGCATCCTTAACGCAATCGCTTTCATCCGTAGTGCAGCAGCTTGCATCCTTAGCGCAAAATCTATAACCCGGTAGGAACGAAAGTAGCATTCACGATCTCAATAAACAGTTTCTCCAGAAGCGCACCAGCATCGGACATTAAGGAGGGTGGAAGCAGTGGCTTGCTCACGAACTGGCTCCAAATCCCTAAACCTGGTTTGTGAAGGTAAGGCGAAGTCAGCACTGTTCCGGACGAACTCAGACGTGGCAGTGAACTTGTCTTGAACACCTGGTCACGCCCCCCTGGCTTGGTCTTTCTCGTTGTGAATGGTGTCAAACTTTGTTCAATCGGTTAATGTGTGCTTCACCTGTCCTCTCGCCTCAAACGGATATCTTGTTTGCTCGCTCAGGCCTTTTTGTGAGACCGTTTTGACTTCATTCCCAATAGGTTCCATCAAGCCAGGGGGTGTGACACCGTGTTCCGGACATGGTCACTGCCACGCCTGTGTTCTTTCGAAACTGTGCTGAATTCGCATCACCTTCACAAATCAGGCTTTGGGGTTTGGAGCCATTTTGTGAGCAAGCCGCTGCTTCCACGCTTCTTAATGTCCATTGCTGGTGTGCTGAGTTCGTGGATGCGATTTACGTCACTATAGGATCATAGTTTTTGCGCTAAGGATGCAAGCTGCTGTACTACAGATGAAAGAGATTGCGTTAAGGACGCAGGCCTCCGCAGTGGGGAAAGAATGTTAGAGGACCTAGGCATCTATTTCAGTCAGAAAGCGTACACACAAGTCGTGGGATAAAAGTAAGCTCCAGACTGCAGCTTTGAGACCATTAGTTGGTCTCGATTGTTGGTAACGTAAGTGCCTTCATGTATGAGCAGCAAATAAAACATTGATGTTGCACATATGTTGCCGCTCCAGCTTTCTCTCTTCCTCTCAGCCACGCACAATCACCCTAGTTTGCAACTATTCCGTGATTGGATGAATGCTTATCGATTGACTAGCAACGGAAGCAGTATGCCTGCTCTATAATAGTGGGTGCCCCCTAGCGTGCGTGTTCCGTGGATGCTCTCGCTCAATTGGTTGGGCGCATGCCATGCAAGTTAGAGGGGACCAGGTTGCCGATAGGCCTAGCGCACCTACCGCGCCATGAAGTACCAAGCGTCTAGGTCGAAATGATTTGGAATATTGGTAGCTCGGGAGGCTTGCTCAGTTGTTGTGGAGTTCTCTGAGCTGGGCAACTTGAGTGTAAACGTTTCGCCACCATTTGAGGTGGCATCTCCAGTGCGGGATTGATGGCAGTAAGTAGCAGTAGCTGGTAGAGAGCAAACCCAATAATGGATGATGGGTTTGCTTTCTACCAGCTACTGCTACTTACTGTCATCAATCCCGCACTGAAGATGCCTCCTCAAATGGTGGCAATACGTTTGCAATCAAGTTGCCCAGTTCGGAGAACTCCACAACAACTACGCGTCGCGGTTTTTAGTACCCTACTCCGGCGTAAGACATGCCATGAGGTTCGGACTAGCATCATAGTCGCTGTAGTGAGTGAGCAGCAGCCACTTGTAAAATCTATGCCAAAGACTTTGTGACTGACAGTCGGTTTGGCGAGTGCGCTTGTTAGGTGGCTGCTTCCGGCCGTCGCAGTTAATCAGTGCCACTTCATGCGTACGTAGATCAGATCAGGAAAGTTATACCGGGCGTTTTCAGTACTTACACTACCATAATTGAGACGCTACTTCTCGTGGAAAACCTATATTCCCACTAAACCGTTCTGGTTGTGCTCAAGCTTCAGCGCGAACTGTTTCTTCAGCATAGGTGGCACGTTCGCAAAGAGATATGTCCGACGACTTGCGCACCGTTGCTGCGCTACACATCATAGGTCCTTGCACGCGTTGGTGTCTAACTCGGTGTGCACACATTTGACGTGACGTTTTGCCATGTAAAGACCTCATGTTTGCTCTAATGTTTACTTCCGGTAGTGATTCATGAATGAAAACAAAGGCGTCTGCACATGTTCCCCTTTGGATGAGCCAGTCAAAACATTGAGGTTGAAGCTTAGTCTTCACTATGCTTCTGGTCCGTGGTCAAGTCGGTGGATTTTCCCACTTCGGCCCAGTGGTTAGGGTTCACGGGGATGTGAACAATCCGCGAGATCCGTTTAGCTAGTCGGTGTGCGTGACGAACTGCATGAAACAGCCAGTTGGTTCTTTCGACTAACAGCGGCAACACATGCGGCCAGGAATTCACAATAGTAGAAGGCAAACTGGACACAAGTACGTGTGACAAGGGCTGTGCAACGCGTATATGGTCTTTTTTCTCTGTCTACAGCGGCCACACCCGATCCAAGACGGCGTTTAGAAGCGCATTCTATGGACATCGCATTTGGGTGAATCACTCCAGGTAGATCGAGTGCAGGTATACAAGTGAGAGTAGGACATTAATTTCCATCCACCACACTGAGCCACATGTTACACGTGAACTTTTCTCGTCGTCGAAAGCATGTAGTACGCCGTGAGCAAGTAAGACTGTACGAATGACCAAATCAGAGGGAAACAAGCTATCCATGTACCTCTCGGAAGCCTGCCACTAGGTTCTCGACAAAATACCACAGACCTAAATTTATCAAAAGACGAAATTAGTCTGGAGAGGACAGTCGTGGCTGAAGGAAATAGTATGCAACTTATTTGTAACTAGTAGGGAATTTATTAGGTTGTTGTATAGATTCGCCGCAGTCAGACACAGGCAGACAGCCACCACACATCCAGGAAAGCGCCAGAAGGCAGTTTTGTCTTATTGGGACTCATCAGTAGCGCACACTCACCGAATCCTGCCGGATTCGAACCCACGACCTTACTCTTGCGAGTCAGTGACTTATGTCACTGAGTCATGGGTGACGGCAGGGGAACGGCATGGCTGATATCTAACTGCGATATAACGCGGCTCGTCCTTCACTGTCTTGCATGTTATGAATGTGCAGAGGACAGGGCTGGCCCCCAGAGAAAACACTTCCTTTGCAAGCCGCCACAAATCGAGGTGGCGTGTAAGCTGCTAAGACGACTATTAATTATTTGTAAGTAATAGGGGGACTTATTAGGTTTTGTGTAGATCCGTCGCAGTTAGACACAGGCAGACAGCCACAACACATCCAGGTATGCAAATTAGTGTTATCTCCATATACCGTATGGATAATTAGTATATCTAAAGCAGTTAGTTCCCTTCAACAATTTGAAAAGCAACGAAGGAAGCTCAGCCTATTGGGGCCAACTCACACTGTGTATACCAATTTGTATGTGACTGCGGAAAAAGTTACATAGGCAGAACCAATAGAACGCCGACTTCCCGAATAAAGGAACATGTGCCAAGATGGGTTCAACGTGAAGTTGCTCAGATTGCCTACCCTCGTCAGGTTCCATGTTCGCGCAGACCGCCGGCTTCCTCGATAGGCAAACACCCATCAGACTCGGGTCACCAATTAGAGCTGGGCTCAGCGTTTAAAGTTGTGTTACGTCACACTAATCCCCGTTTTCTTCGGTTTGCTGAGGCTGTCGCAATTAGCCGGATTAAGCCAGCCTTGTGTGTTCAGAAACAATTATTTGTCAGCCTAAAGCTGCCTTGGACGTAGGTGTGAACTTCCGTCATTCATTTTTCACCTTAAGCTTGTCTGGTTGCACCCACTGTTAGCTATATCTATGCTTATCGGTTATTGTTACTGGTACTGAGGAGACAATACGAAATGCATGCATCTACCAGCCTTCGTCTTCTTTCCGTGCTTTTCAAATTGTTGAAGGGAACTAACTGCTTTAAATTTCTGGAACGACGAATTCCCTCCGAATCAGTCAGGTTGCTGCACCGCATAGTCAGCCTGAGGTGCAAGATGGTGTGCTTACGTGTGGAGATATCGTTTCTATCGAAATGCATTTTCGTACGTCGCTCTCCTCGTCCAGTGCTTTTACTGTTGCGTAGAAACAAACTCAAGCCCTCTGCGGCTAACCTCAGACGTGTGGCGTCCGCTCACCTAGAGACGGCTCAAACCAGACTTGCGGAACTACTAGAACTCATGCACGCTTACTACCCGTGGTCGAGGATCTGTCTCTGTGTTGCCGGATTGTTTTCACTAACTTTTGTAAATCAACTCTTGATCGTACGAGACGAAATCGCTCCGCTCGTTTAGAAAATTCGCTGACGAACAACCAGGAGGAGGAACCAATTGCTCGTGATCCCAGTAAGTACGTGATGAATTTATCGAACGTACAACTTGATGCGTTGCAATTAGAAGCATTGTCACTTGGGCTTGATTACAAAGTCCCCCCTAGGATGTTGAACGGCTTGTTTATAGAAGCCCAATTTGAGAACTTTTTTGACCAGTTTAAGGAGCTCCAACCAACCAGCCCTGATAAGCATATTTGGTTCAGAAACAAGTTAACTGATATCGCTCATGAGGTGAAAACCATGCCAATTAATGAAAAATGTGCCATCACAGCTCGACATTTTCAGGCTTTACGTGAA